TGCTGCCCTGCCTCCCTTCATCTTTCCTTATGCCAGCCCAGGGCTTTGCACAGCCATGCAGTGAGCAGGAAAGCTGAAAGCTGGCCAGGCTTCTTTTGGGTTAGTCTTAATGCAGATCAGTTCCCTAATCTGGTTCGTTGCATGGGTGCACCAATGTTTGGCAAGAGAGGATTTGAGAGAAAAGGAAGGAGAATACAAAGGTGAAACAACCAGCCAGAGATGGGACTGCCTGTGTGGCCACTGTCCTTAAAACTCTGGACCTGGAATGTGGAATCGTTGAGCAACACTTGACTTCATGACTCTGCAGCATTATGAGTAGAAGCAAACATGGGTAAATTTACTTTTCCAAGCAAAAGCAACACTTAGGAAGAAGCCTAAACTGGAGAGAACTGTACAGCCGAAGTGATGAATAAGAAGAGTTGAGTCTTTCACCCCCAAGTTGCTGATTTTACTCAAGCAGAGTTGACCTAAAGAGAAGCACCATGCAATGCTGCGATGGTTACTGTTGGCCTGCGTGAGCTGACTTTGCTTTTTGCTGTAGTTCCAACATTATGAGTACTACATTTCCCGTGTATAACCACTTGAGAGACTAATTAAATAACAGCATTTTAATTATTGAAGGCTCAGAAAAGGAATGTCACCTTCTTGATAGGATGAATGCTCACAAGGTTAACACACCACATTGCCAGGCAAAAATAACCCTTGATTTATTTTCTGAGGTAACTTTTACTAAGGTTCTAACAAAGCAAGTGCTTTGAAGAGGCCATCCCTGCAAAATCAGAGGACAGAGTTCAGAAGTTATGAAAAGATAAATATTCAGCCTTTCTTGTTACGGAAAGGTTATAATGAATGTAAACTTGAGAAGTGCTTTCAAGAGCAAAATTCCATTTCTTTAGCATTCTACATGCTATTGCCTTGATTCCTCTAATATTTCTCTTGATGAAAATCAAGGAAGGAGAATAATACCAACATATACCAATGAGCTCGGAAACATTTTAAAATACAAATCAATACTGTTTGAGGGTCAGCAATCCACCTAGGCAAGTGATAGGATCCTACAGGAAAAGAGCCATGGCTGAAGACCGCAAAATTTTCAAGAAGCCATTTATCATTTAATCATTCTATTTCCTATCTGAAAAAAAAAGGTGCTGTCCTGGTTTCGGCTGGGATAGAGTTAATTTTCTTCATAGTAGCTAGCATAGTGCTGTGTTTTGGATTTAGTACTAGAAGAATGTTGATAACACACTGGTGTTTTTAGTTGTTGCCAAGTAGTGCTCAGACTACTCAAAGACTTTTTGAGCTTCTCCTGCTCACCCAGGTGCATAACAAGCTGGGAGAACAGCACAGCTAGCACAGCTAACCCAAACTGTCCAAAGAGCTATTCCATACCATATAACATCATGCTCGGGGGGGGTTAGTCGGTCAGTCGGTCATGGGGAGAGTGCTCGCTGCTCAGGGACTGATTGCTGCTCGGGCACTGATCGCAGCTCGGGGAGTGATCGCGGCTCGGGACGGGCTGGGCATCGGTTGGCGGGTGGTGAGCAATTGCTTTGTGCATCGTTCGTTTTGTATATTCTGTATATTCTGTATATTCTGTTATCATTCTCATTATTACAATTATTATTATTTTCTCTTATTAAACTGTCTTTATCTCAGCCCTCGGCTCTAACCTTTTAATTTCTTCCCAATTCTCTCCCCCATCCCACTGAGGGAGGGGGGGGAGTGAGTGAGCGGCTGTGTGGTGCTTAGTTGCCAGCCGGGTTAAACCATGACAGTGCTCATGTCAAGCCCTGCAACAGTGAGGTTGCTCCATCCAGATGATGGCAGCGAAAGTGTAAAATATACGGTAGAAAAGTGACAAAACTTTTAAGTGTTGATGAATCACTATAGACTTGCCTGAGGTCATGCAGGGTATTAGCCCCAGAGAGCTGAAACAGCATCCTGCAGTTACAGGTCAGCAGTCTAACCACTTGAACCATCTTCCCTCTCTGCCCTAAAATGGATCTCTTCGACTAGAATGCATTAAATTGTTGATATAATGCCCGTGACTTCATGCTCATGATTATGAAAAGTCTTCTGCATTGGCTTAGGAGTAAGTGCCTCCTCTGATATCTGCGACTAACAACAGAAGACAGAATTTGCTTAATAAAATACAGTTTCTGGTATCTTGGCTATAGAACAGGATGGGCATTTCATCCTTTCCTAGCTGCTGTGGTGCAGAAATGTTGGAAGAGAGAAGGATAAATAGGCTTATGGCCCCTATGCCAAACCCCAGCACTTCCTCTTGGAAGTGCCCACACTCCCTGATCACGATAGTCAGGGCTGAATAGGTTCCCTCTTCCACTTCAAGTGGCATCTGCCTCTGAGTACTTGGAGCAAAACTGCACACAGATTTTTTGAAGCTCATTCATGGGGCGCTTTATGTAGTTTTTCTATCACCACTCCTTTTTACACCGCCATGATGTGTTACAGGCTAAAACTGATTGAATTTTAAGAACAGTAGGGCAGTAAAACTAACCCAACTGTGTCCTTTTGAGGTTGCTTAAGCAGCACATATTAAGCGATTTAATTAACCTTGCAGGTGGCCCATCTGTGTTGTAGAGGTGAAGCAACTCAGTCGCTGTTGTGTTACAGCCTCAGATGCTGCGTGACCTAAACACAGCAGTATTATTTCTAAGGTCTTCAAGTTCTCGTCTTGAAACAGTGTGTTTGATTCTGTGTGGCACAAAAGCAAAGTTAATAAAACTTACCAAACCGAAAGCAGCTCCATACAGAAGCAGCTCCACTGTCTCCTGGATGGATCTCTGCTACTTGTAGAGATGTCGAGGTGAGCCTCCAAAGTACTCTTCAGCACACATCCTGTAGCATGCATATTACTTGGGATTACCCTGGATAATGAGGACTTGACTGTACTTAGTCTTCCCATCAGCACATTTCAATTCCATTTGAACAAGTCAGCTATGTACAAGGCCAACTACTCGACTGGAGTCCGCAAAGTTTTTTGCCATCGGTGACAACGAAGGCTCTGTTTCTGGGACATGTGTACTTGGAGAAATGCCTGGGAGACAGTATGCTGAAGTCGAGAATGAAAGAAAGGGAAGGAGCCAGCATCAGCCCCTGGCATGGTACTGTGCATCGCTTTACTACGCAGAGGAGCTTATCTTTATCAACGATCTGGACAAGTGGATTGAGTGCACCCTCAGTAAGTTTGCAGATGACACCAAATTGGGTGGGAGCGTTGATCTGCTTAGGGGAGGAGGGGTCTGCAGAGGGACCTGAACAGGGTGTATCGATGGGCCAAGGCTTGTATCAGGAACAGTGTGGCCAGCAGGAGCAGGGAAGTGATCGTGCCCCTGTACTTGGCACTGGTGAGGCCGCACCTCGAGTACTTTGTTCGGTTTTGGGCCTCTCACTCCAAGGACATTGAGGTGCTGGAGTGTGTCCAGAGAAGAGCAACAAAGGTGGTGAGGGGTCTGGAGCACATGTCTGACGGGGAGCGGCTGAGGGAGCTGGGGTTGTTCAGCCTGGAGGAGGCTGAGGGGAGACCTTCTCACGCTCTACAGCTGCCTGACAAGAGGCTGTAGCCACGTGGGGGTCGGCCTCTTCTCCCTGGTAACGGGTGACAGGAAGAGAGGAAATGGCCTCAAGTTGCGCCAGGGCAGGTTCAGGATGGACATCGGGAGAAATTTTTTCACTGAAAGGGCTGTCAATCATTGGAACGAGCTGCCCAGGGAGGTGGTCAAGTCGTCATCCCTGGAGGTATTTAAAAGAAGGATAGATGAGGTGCTGAGGGACATGGTTTAGTGGTGGGATGGCAGGGTTAGGGTAACGGTTGGACTTGATGATCTTAAAGGGCTTTTCCAACCTAAACGATCCTATGGTTCTATGAAAGACCACCACTGCTCAGCACCCCTGACAAAAAGAGGTAGTGAGTTGCACGCAGTACCGTCAATCGAGCAACACTCTCTTACCTATTTCAGAAAAATGTGAACTGGGCTCTTCTGCTTTTAAATAAATGACAGAAATGTTACTTAAATACCGTCAAAGTGAGAGGAACCATCGGCTTTGGCTGCTT